CTTAGATTTTTTTCTAAGAATATGAGACGTGGACGTCTAAGAGTATTAGGAATGTGAAGAAAGGATACTGATGAGATGAAGCAAAGAGAGGAGTAATGAAAGGAGACACCCACTCCTTCTCAGGTGACAGCAATCCCAGTTTTTTGGTTGCTCAAGATAAAAACTGGAATCTAGTCTTGATTCTTCTTTTTCTCTCACATTCCTCATCCAATCCATCTGCGAAACCAGTTGAGTCTCCCTCCCTAATCTCCAGAATCTGAGCACTTCTCACCATCTCCACTGCTACCATCCAGTTTGAGCCAACATTATCTCTTCCTTGGATGAAGGTGATTGCCTCCCAACTCCTCCTCCTGCTCTATCTTTGCCCCTCTTCTGTCTATTCTCACCTCAGTAACCACAGAGGGACTCTCAAAATGTAAGCCAGTTAGATCATTCCTCTGCCCCAAACCCTACAATAATTTCTCTATTGGTCTTTGCCCAAGAGTCAGAGTCCTCACAGGGGCTTACAAAACCGAATGAGAATCTCCCCCTTAGCTCTCCCCCTTCTTATTTTACTCCTCCAGCCACACTGGGCTTCCTTGCTGTCCTCAACACACCAGATATGCTACCACAAGGGCCTGTGTTCAGATGTTGAGTCTGCCTCCAACATTCCACCCCAGGTGGCTAACTCCCCCATCTCCTCAACTCCCATTCACTCCATAAGCCTACCCTGATTACCCTTCTTCTAGGCTCTACCCGTTACTTACATTCTGATCTACATAGCACTTATCACTTTCTAACCTGTTTGATACTTTGCTTTTTATTATTTCTATTAATTATTCTCTGTCTCCTCACTCTACTATGTAAACTTAAATAGGGCAGGGACTTTTGAGCGCTCCTAGAATAATGCCTGGCTCAGATAGACACTCAATTTTTGAATAAAAGAGAATATTTTTAGTTAAGAATGCAACTACGAAGTATTGTGACAGTGAATATTCTGAGCCTCTGTAGACAATTCAAAAGAATTTTCCTTCCTGTCCTGCAAAAGCCAGTCTTCTTACTTTATGATTACATTTGACAGCATGAGATTTGAGGAATATAAACATGGAAAATGAACAAAATTGAATCAAAGAGGAGAGTCGCTTGGGCTGGTTTTTATTAGTTTTTTTAAATTTTTAATCTTCACTGGGGGATATTTTTCCATTGATTTTTAGAGAGTTGAGGGAGAGGGAGATACAGAGAGTGAGAAAGATCAATGTGAGAGAGACACATTGATTGGTTGCCTCCACACATGCCCCTACCAGGGTCTGGGATACAGCCTGAAACGAAGGTATGTGCCCTTGACCAAAATCGAACCTGGGACCCTTCAGTCTGTGCACCAACATTCTATCCACTGAGCCAAATAGGTTAGGGCTAATTTCTATTAGTCTTACTACCATGTGTGTCTCGGAAATAAGCATTTTTTTTCAAAATTAAGTAACTAATTTTGTGTGATTACATTATACAGAGTACTAAGTTCCCCATTTCCTCTGCCCCTGGAGTGGAAAGTGTGCATTGAACTCTATTAGCTTTTAAAGAGGCCCTTTCTTTAATTTAGAGATTCTCCTCATTAATTTCTTTCTTACATTACACTTTCCTACTGAGAATTATCAATTAAGTTGTAACATCTCTATGAACGATTGAATGTAAGTCCCTTTAATAATTTTAGCTCAATATTTATCCTAAGTCCATAAAATTTAGTTTTAATTTTTTGCAGAAAGTGGATATAGTTCAAGGACATTTATTTTTTCAGTGCTGATATTCTAAATATTTTGTTTCATTGTTTTTTTAAGATGTAAAAATGTGTTCACTTTTAACAGGCTGTTCTGGTAGGAATTTTTTTTTCCACACTGCAGCGTTTGGATGTCTATGTGAACAATGCATTGGTCTGCCCCAAAGATACAGTATGGAACCCCCAACAGAAACACTGTGAATTCAATAGACATCTACACACAGGTATTTACTCAGAAAAATACAGTACACATTATATATATCCTAGTAGGTATTAAATAATATATAGTAACAATGAAATGGCTCCTTAGTGCCATTGTTATGAATGTCTAGTACTTTCATAAGGAAGACCCTCTTCTTTATAACATTTTCATTTCTTTTTCTTAGTAAGTCTCACTATGAAATGTGGTAAAAATCTGCACCTCTTACGGCAGTACTATTATACAATTCAACCTTTTGTCAGGGCTTAATACATTTTAGTAGATATATTACCTCTTAAACATTATTACTATTGACACTGTGCCATAAAATAGTATATACAGGGGTTGGCAAAAAGTGGGTTTACAATTGTTTGCATGGAATATAATACAATAATTAATAAATAATAATATAAGAATAAACTGTTTTGTGTACTCACAACTGTAAACCTACTTTTTCACACCCTTGTATGGTCATTCATTTTTAATGTATATAATAATCCCAATCACTTTTACAAAATTTGCTTCCCTAATAGCATTTGTTTTGCATTAACCAAATATTTTCCAGACTGAAATGTAAACCTATTTCATGTAAGATTCTTCTGGGATGTTTTTGTTTTTTAAAAAAAAAATATTTTATTGATTTTTTACAGAGAGGAAGGGAGAGGGATAGAGAGTTAGAAACATTGATGAGAGAGAAACATGGATCAGCTGCCTCCTGCATACCCCCTCCTGGGGATGTGCCCACAACCCAGGTACATGCCCTTGACTGGAATCGAACCTGGGACCTATCAGTCTGCAGGCTGACGCTCTATCCATTGAGCCAAATCGGTCAGGGCCTTCTGGGATGTTTTGATGTATATTTCATTTGTGTTACATAATATTTTTCTTGGTAAAAATAGAAGCACTGAATTAAAAATTTTCCTCAAGATTTGGTATATAGCACTGCACAAACTAGATGGCTCCTAAAGTTAAATTTACATTTTTTAAATTATCAAATGCCTTTGGTCAAGGCTTTAAAATTCTGGACATGTAAATAGTGCTATAATACAATTATAATTATGGGTTCATAATTAGATTTTATTTCTCATTTATATTGTGTCTATAGTATTTTTAAAGTAAATTTAATGAACCAATGATTATTGTTTTCTAAATTAATTGCTTTTAATAAATTTTTAAAACTTTTTAAAAAATTTAACATATAATGATTAAAATCAGTATTATTTAAAAGATTGACTTTAATTTTGCTTGTTAGTTCTATATGTGTTTTTAAGATGCATACTTTCTTATGAAAGAATGATAATGGTGAACTTTTTGGAATTTCATAAATTTAAACAAATATTAAATATTACATGGTAATTGTGATCATATGAATATGCATAACCATGCTGTTTTGACTTTTTTTCCTCCATAGAGCAATTCCTTCCTAACCTGAATTCCACTGTCCTTGGTGAAAACTACTTTGATAGAACCTACCAGATGCTTTACCTTTTGGTTAAAGGAACCATGCCTGTTGAAATCCATACCACCGCGGTCATATTTGTTTCTTTCCAAATACCTGCTGTAACAGAAGAGGACTTTTATAGCTCTCATAATCTAGTTAGGAATCTTGCCTTGTTCCTAAAGATACCAAGGGACAAAATCCGTATCAGCAAAGTAATAGGAGGGGACAGTGTGCGCAAGAAGAGATCCATGGGACTCACGGTTCAACTGGAGATCGGAGATCCGCCCCCTCAGTTCATAACCAATGACACCGCAGGTACGAGTAGTTGACCTTTGAGGTAGAGCAATGCAGTTACCAAATCCACACCCACAAGTAACCTTATCAAGGCCTGGTAAGCATGACCTCCGGAAATCCCACCAACTCTACATCCTGAACCCTGTGAGGGCCTAGAGACCCCTTTTCCTGCCCTGCTCCTGTAATCCCAACCTATTTTGGAATGATGAAGGAATTTGAGCCTCTATTTTATTATTGTAGCAATTAACAAATTCAACCAAAGGATTTCACCTAATATAAAAGATCTGAGAAGTGACCTAAAGAAGTCGTCTCTTACAGCTTGAGAGATTAAACATGAAAATAGGGGGGTAGGAACGTTCAAGGCTGAGGAGTAGTTGCTGAGAGTTTGATGCTTTAGAAGAATTGGGAAGGTCCAATAGGTCTGCAGTGGAAGGAGGTAGGAAAGGCGAGCTGCTGGAGATGAGGTTGAGCAGTAGGTGCTAGATAGTGGGAAACCAAAAGGAGCTCTCCTGTTCATAAGCTGAAGGACTGTGGATATGTTCTCCTAAGGAAAGAGTAGTGGAGTGGTGAAATAGATTTCCATAGCAAAGTCACAGATTGACCCAACAAGTGCAAATATGCAAGCATATGTTCTGTCTTTTTTCCTATGTTACTCTAATCAGCCTCACCAGCCATCAACCCTTTGGCCGTCCCTCACTCTCCAGACCCTCATTTTCTAGGTATCAGATAAAAATAAGCTCAACTGTCCCGTAACAGGTGTCTTTGCTGCTTTAAATTATTTCCTTAGAGTGACTCCTTTTTGGTATCTGGGTGGGTAAATGTTCAGTCTTCAGGTTTTCTTCCTCTCCATCTGTTCAGTCTGTTAAAGTTGGCGTCTGAATCCCAAGGGGCCCTTCATGACCTCAAGCCCTCACGCTGCCCTCCGGACTTATCAGTCTCTGCTACAAGATGAATGGTCTTCTCTGCTCTGCACAAGCCTCTCCAGAGGCCACTGAACCTTCCTGGCCTCCTGCTGCTAATCCCAAGGGGCTAATTCCCAACCTGCTATTGTTATGGGTAAACCTGTGTAGCGGGTGAAGATCTCACCTTCTGCCACTAGGGGTCATCACTCATTTCCCCAGCAGGTTTGTTTTGACTCTACATGAGCCACACTGCCATTCTGGAATTCCACCAGTTAGGCCGGCAAGAGGTTCTTCCCTTGTGGGGATACGCCTGTGGAAAGGCTTGCATGAGTAGAGGGAGGTGCTGATCACTTCTCTTTGTTGAAGAAAACTGGAAGCACAGCCTTGAATGATAACCAGTTCTCTCATGATGTTCTCTGCCCTGTCATAGGTTACTTCCCTTCACCAACCCTGTAATTCCTGTGTTGGCAGGGTCATGGCTTTGGACCCAAGAGAGTCTGTTAATTTAACCCAGGAGTTGTAGTGGGTCCATGGTTCATATACAAATTGCTCACCGACTCTTAGAAATCCTGGTTAGCCCTTACATGTATTGGGGTCCAATATTTAGCATACTAGCCACTCAAATATCCAAAGAAACTATGATGTATTTTCTATATGTGATCTAAATTTCCTCACACACAAGCCCTCCCAACCTCTATCCCCTTAAAGCAGTTTTACCTTGTTAGTCAGATTTATCTAGTTAGGTACACATAGTCTAAGAACTGGACATGGGGTAGAGGGAGAGACAGACCAAGGCATTTTTCCCAGACCTTTGCTGGGATACAAGTTTTAAGACTCAAGGAAAGCCTACAATTTGTCATGGAGCAACATTATAGAAAAATACTGGGAAATGGCAAAAAGATGTGCATGTAGCAGCCCCCTGGCTCCCACAGTCTTCACATAGTGTTGGGATACCCAGACGTTGCCAGGTTTCCTAAAAAAGGGTCCTTAAGTACTGAGGAACCTCTGAATAAACAGAGACCTGAGGTCAGAAATGAGAGCTCCTCAAGTTAAGGTCTTTGGTTTCCAGGTGGCAGTCTACAGAAATGGATGCCTTCACATGCCAAATGGTCAGAGTATCTGTTAACAGGGCAGACCAGGTCAGACCTGCCACTCCATACCAAAATCCAGTGAGGGCAGGTGGCAATAGTAGTGTATGGGCATGAAGCGCCCTCGTACTGCTACCGTTAGGTCACATGAACCCGCCTGCCTGGGAGGCTGTCTTGGAGAATACACAGAGGAAGTGGGGGGAAGAGGGGAATCTATAGACTGAGCATTTGTCCAGAAGAGTCTTAGTCAACCACAAGAGACCTTTTAAATTGACAGGAACTAAAATTCCCTAAGACTGTGATTTTCAAATGTAAGACCTGCTGGCCTAGGACATGGCCTCCTTGCCGAGTCTTAATGGAGGAAACTCAGTGGTCAGAATCCTCCAGGCAGGACTCTGGATGCGGAAGATGCTGGATGTCTAGGAACAAGGGGTTGGCGAGGCCCACAGTACACCAAAACGTTATCTCGGTGACAGTTGGTTTTTTAAAAGATCACAAAATACAGTGGAATGTATAGAATGGAGTGGAAGGGGGAGAGAATAGATTCAAGTAAGCCAGTTTCAAGCTCTTCTAGTGAGTCCACTGATGATGGCTTTCACTGGGATGCTGACAGCGGGACAGAGAGATTTAGAAATTGGTAACTGATGAGATGGTGTGAAGGAGAGGTGACGGGTGAAGTAGAAGAAGCAAATATCCCTGACTAAAGAAATACAGCGAATAGAGGTGCCGCTTCACAAGGAGCGTTATGGAGACAAGTCGATTTAAGAGGCGCTGCCAAGCTAGAAAAAGAGTATAGTAACTACCCAGGGTTCAGATTAACCTTGAAAATCATCAATGTCCAGAAAAAGTAACCCTTTGTTAGTAATTTAATATATGTAGCAACTATTAATATACATACTATGAATTTTATTCTTTCATCCCAAAATGACACTCTTTTTTAAAAAAATAGTAAGTGATGAAAGACAGGCATGATAGTGTTCCACTTCTACACAAAGGATGACATGGGAAAATATAAAATTGAGACACATTTTCCCATTATGCTTTTATTCATTTTTTCTTATATCTATTTTATCTACCTTTGTTTTTTCTTTAATTACAGCTTTAAAATATACTCTACTGAGCTTTTCAGTTTCCTACCTTCGTTAATATGACTGTCACGTTAAGCTTATGCACAGTTAGGAAGCTATAGAATTCTATAATGTGGATGGAGCAGCACAAACAAAAACTTAAGTGAAAAACTGTCATGTGTTCTCACAATGCCACTTCCTTATAATCCTTGTGTCATAACACTGTTTCCTCATAGGTCAGATGCAATTATCTGAACTCCAAGAAGTTGCTGCTTCTCTCGGACAAGCTGTAATTTTAGGAAAAACCAGTAGTACCCTTGGATTTAATGTCTCTTCCATGTCGATTATCAATCCCATTCCTAGCTCAAGTGATTCTGAATGGATTAAGGTAAGAAAATACAACTAGAAAAATGCACTTTCGCTACTTAAAACATTGTTGCTAATTTCTTATTTCAATTTTTTTTCTATTTCAAGACTAATTTAGAGGGCATGTCTAATTTATTATTGGATATTTTATATGGTATCACTAAAATGATAAAGTAGGTTAAAAAGGAGCCTGTCTTCTAAAAAATTATTTATTGGAATAAAATGTGCTTTGCCTTGAATATTTACAACAGTGCTTCATGAATTTGATCTAGAGGAGATATTATAATAATATTTGCACATATTAACGTTTTAAAATAAAAATGAATATTATACTTAGCTTGGTTAAGATGATTTTGCTACTAAATGCAGTTTATCGTGTGAAAACCACTCCATCACTCGTGACCATTCACAGGTGACTGCCCAACCAGTGGAAAGGTTTGCATTTCTTGTTCATCATGTGGCCGTTGTGTCCTCGCTCTCAGTGATCAGTCAACCAGTGGCAGCGCAGCTGGGACAGCCTCTTTCTCAGCAGCCATCAGTAAAGGCAGTAGATCCTGACGTAAGTTATAACTCAAAGTTTCATTTAGGTGGAAGAATTAAGCTATAAATTCGGGAGGGTGAGCCAACTTCACTAATCCTGGTACTCTGCCTACCTGAGGATTGCACTGTCAGACTGCTTTGTATGGATATTGTCTAGTACTACTTTAAAAATATTTCTTTTCCATGAATTTGCTCCAGTGCCCATATTTGTGAATTCTTTGTGTAGAAAAAAATACTTCTACTGATTTTAAATTTGTAATGAGGCATTTTTAAAGATAAAGTTTCACATATCTTTTTTTTAAAAAAAAGCATGGGACAGGGCATTTAGAATTCTCTACATTTAGGTTTTTTTTCTTTAGGGTAATTGTGTATCAGTTGGGATTACTTCATTGACTTTGAAGGCCATACTAAAGGATTCCAACAATAACCAAATCAGTGGTCTTGGTGGAAATACAACAATTCCATTTAGCAGCTGTTGGGCCAACTACACGGACCTTACTCTTCTTAGAACAGGTGAGCGTACTATTTTGAATCCTCACATACATTATAATTGAACAAAGCATCCTATAATATGCTGTTCAATAAATTATAGAAATCAGAACCCTATACTCGACTTTTCAGAAAACATTTAGTCTAGCTTACAAAAATATATTTACTATGCAAAACAAACTAGAAATTAAAATAAGCAATGGAAGAAATTTAAACAGGCAATTTGAGGATATGCATCACAATTATCTCCTGATTCCTATTTTTATCCATTTGCACATTTGTCTAATTTTCACTAAATATGTATTATTACATTTATAATATAAGCAATTAACAGATTTTCAAAGTAAAGAAATAAGATAGGATCACATAATCTTAACACCCTGTGCAGGAGTTGCTCTGAGATCAGAATAAAGATTCTCATAAAGCATATCCAATGAATCTTTACTAAGTGATATCTCAACATTGTTACAGTAAATACAGTCATACTTCCACAGTGATGTTTCTTATATGATCTCTGTTCGAGTTGATGGTGAAGGCTTTTACAGTTAGTAAAAGCCTTTCTTCTGAGGCCAAAATGCTATGTCCAAAAACAGATCCTATTGGTGATAGATTATAAAGTACCTAAAACAATGAAATGGATAAACAGCTTATACTTGAGACAGACCTCCATTAATCTGTTTACCTCGATCTGGGACCCTTTTAAGACCTTTATAGCCTAACTTCTGAAAAGCACTCTTACCACTGTTATTTCAAAAGTACACACACACACACACACACACACAGAATAAAAGTAAAAATAAAGAGTACAATAAGTAAAATAATTCTAAGTCATCTGATGTTTTTCATAATCACTAAATATCAACTACTAAAATCATTCCAGAAGAATCTTTTCCTTATTTTTTGTTTCCTCGTGCTTTGATAATGACCTACACTAGACAATCTGGTCTGCCTACTAGGCAGCAGTATCTCAACCTTGTGTTTGATGAGGATCAAATGGCAATGGGCTCAACGTTGTGCTCTTGGACAAGAACCCTGAGTACCCCATACGCTTGCTGGTTAAGGGCAGAGCCAAATTCTTGAACAGTCCGCCTAAATGGTGGTAGGACTGGGAAAAGAGGCACCTGCAAGAGCCCTGCCTGCACAGCAGGTTGTCCACCACCCCAGGAAGGTGGACTCAAGAAGTGGCCAGTGGCAAAGGCCTGACCTAGGGACCAAAGTCTTCAAAGTACCACTTCCAAATAGCAACGCTCCAAAGTAACCAGGTCACTGGAGCGCTGAAGCAATGATCTAGGTTTGGGCATTTTGTCATGATAACAAAATAGCACTCTCATTTTATACAGTAAATTGTCTTTCAGAGTTCAAAGCCTCTTTGGAGTGTCTATCTGACCTGCTATAGAGAAAGAGCTGCTGCTCCTAATTTCTTTCTCTCTCTCTCTCTCTCTCTCTCTCTCTCTCTCTCTCTCCCAAGTGTAGGGCCTCAGTTCCCTGGTTGTGGACAGTAAGGAAGGTCAAGCATAGTCATCTCTTCATTGTCTTTAGGTCAGTTAGGCAGTTTGTAGATTAACAATTTTAAAGCACATCTGAGAAAATTAACAAAGCATCTTTCCTGTAACTCTTTCTAGTAGAGCCCACAGTTGCTGCACTGTGGGAAATCCCCTTGCAGATCAGACGATAGTCCGACAGCATGGCGGCCTGCACTCTTCTACTTACAGCGTTCTAAAGAGCAAAGCAGGGCCACCTGGGTATGGGCTGTGGTTTCTAACACAGAAAACAGGGAAGTAAACAGTAGGTGAGAAAAGGACAGAAGAAGAAGAGAGTAAGCAGCTGAGACTCCATCTCTGAGTATAACCTGGGTAAAAATAGTCTTACTGATGAATATAACATTTGAAACATGTTGACCTAGCAGCCTATATAATATTTAGTGCTTATTTCAGTTTCTATTACTGCATAACAAGTCAGCCCAAAATTTGACGGCTTAAACAACAGCCTTTTCATTTGCTCACAATAGTGTGGGTCAGGAATTTGGGCAAAGAGGGCTCATCTCTGCTCCACAATGTCTGAAGCTTCTGCTGGGTTTGCTTCATTGGAGTGATAGCCCTAAGGTCTTGATTCTGGTTTTTGTCTGGATTCTTCAGTTCTACAAGGAGTAGCCTCTCCACTAAGGCTAGTGTAGGTTTCCTCATAGTTCTTCAGGAGAAAAAAGAAAAACTTAATTTCTTTTTTTAAAAAAATATATTTTATTGATTTTTCACAGAGAGAGAGAGGGATAGAGAGTTAGAAACATCGATGAGAGAGAAACATCGATGAGCTGCCTCTTGCACACCTCCTACTGGGGATGTGCCCGCAACCAAGGTACATGCCCTTGGCCGGAATCTAACCTGGGACCTTTCAGTCCATAGGCCAATGCTCTATCCACTGAGCCAAACCGGTCAGGGCAAAACTTAATTTCTTTACACATAAAAATCATTAAGAAAAAAATACACCTGCCACAAAAATTCTGTTTTTCAAAGTGAATAAAAGGTAAGACAAATCCATTATTGTCGTGAATTTTAACAGCGATAGAAGTCTATAGAGCAATGGCCGACCATCTTGAAGGTCGTAGAACACATTGTTGTTGTTTATGAAAACACAATGTGGTCAAGAACTAATCAAATTCTCTCCCTAAAAAAGAAAGGAAGAGTGAAAACAGAAATGATATTTTTAGAAAAAAAAATAGAAAAAAAAAGGAAATAAAACTTCAAGGTCTGTAAGTATTGCAAAGTCTGTTCTGTGTGGTAACCACTTAATCATGATAACAGTAGTCCCAGAATAAATTATGTTAAGGAAAAATATACTGATATCATATTCAAAACTGTGGGAAGATTTAACATGTGGATTAAAAAAACATTTGGGTGATTTTATTTTTCTATGTTTCACTCTCTAAAAAGATTTAACAAGTGTTTCGTTAAGCTTGTGTACCTGGGGTAAGTGGAAAGGGTCACAGTTTTGCAACAAAAAGTATTATCTGACTTAAAGCAAATGTGGGAAACAGTTAAAAAAAATGTTGAACTAAGTGGAGGACATATGGGTGTTTATTGTACTATTTTTTCAAGTGAGGCTGAGGCTTCTCCAGTTTCGGTCAAGTCCATAGGGATGAAGCAGAGTTCAGCACTTTCACCTCCAGTCCCTATTGTCCCTCATTTCAAACAGCCTCTCTCGTGGGCACTGATGCTACAGAAAGAAAATTTCGCCAGAGTGCCCCTGCCCATAGCTGATGGGAAGATTGAACTCTTCAAACTCAGAGACCCTCTCTACACTGGTTTATACTTACACTAATTCGTTTGACTCAGTTTCAAAAATACTGTGTTAGGAATCATACGTTATTGTAAGTCAATGAAAACCCAATTGGCAGTGTATGAAAATCAATAAAAGGAAGTCAAACACCACGATGATTTTTTTTTTCCTAGGGAAAAATTATAAGATTGAATTTATTCTGGATAATGTTGCTCGGGTGGAATCCAGGGCTTTCAGCCTCCTGGCGCAGTCTGTCTCCAGCGGAGGCAGCAGTGGCGGGGGAGGCAGTGGCATCAGCAGTGGCAGCAGCAGCGGCAGCAGTGGCAGCAGCAGCAGCAGCAGCAGCAGTGGCAGCAGCAGAGCATCCACTGTGGGCACCGCTGCTCAGACGATGACTACAGCGATTAGCTGTCTGCTGGGAAGAGTGTTGCTCCTGGAAATATTTATGGCTGCAGTTTTGACTTTGAACATAAATCTAGGTAAGCACAGTTGGTTTTTTATGTCATGAACGTCTCCACATACTGAGCTACCAGTAAATGGTTACTTAATAGAGACAGCGCACCACACGTGTGCATGGTATCACTGTGGGCTCGAAGACATGGTCTCAGCCAGTGAGAAAGTAGTAACCTCCAGGAAATGTTACTCACTTTACGCGGTGGCATAGAGGAATGTGCGGAATGTGAAGTGCAGGTAATGTCAGGACTCGTTTTCGGTTACGAGGGGGCAGGAGCTTAGTTCGAATTGGCTTGGGCAGTAATGTGAACTCACTTAACTGAGAAGTCCAGAAGTAGTCTAATTTCTGCCTCCGGTAGACCCAAGGACTCAAATGATGTCTTCCAGAAGCTGTCTCTCTCCCATCTCTTGGCTTCATTCACTTTGGTAGTAGATCCACTCCTAGGTAGGCTCTCCACCAACACCACCATCCCTCCTGGCAAAGTAACACTAGCATCTTCATGTTTACATTCTACTGGCCCAGCAGCTAATGCAGAAAGAATACAACTCTCTCCCTAGCTTCTTACTATCCTACCTCAATGAGTAAATGATATTGTTCCTGGCATTTTTTTAAGGATTTTTTTTCCAGATAAAAATGTTAATCAACAGCTTCTTCTTTGCTACTAAATAATCTATCATTCTTCAATTAAGACATAAGATGATTTAAAACCCCTTGGTCTTGGTCCATTCAAGGTGCTATAGCAAAATACCACAGCCTGGATGGCTTATCAACAGCAGAAATTTCTCTCTCACAATTTGGAAGGCTGGAAGTCTGTTCTGGCTGTATCCTTACCTGGCAGAAGGGGTGAGGGAGTTCCATGGTATCTCTTTTATTAGGGTACTAAACTCATTCATCATGAGGGCTCCACCCTCATGACTTAAGCACCTCCCAAAGACTCCACCTCCAAATACCATCACATCAGGTTTTCACAAATAAATTTGAGGGGGATACATTCAGACGTTAGCAACCATTAACGCAATGAAATGCTGGTTTTTACATATAACTTTGCATTCCAAATTAATAATATTTTACTTTTAAAAGAGACATGAAGTTCCATTAAATAAAAGGAAAAAAATGGAGTGTGAAAAATAAAATACTGTGTATACGCACCACTACTCTCTTTCCACTGTTCCACAAAAAGAACACATTATTGATTCTAATATTAAATTGATAAACTTTAAAATATTTTCACCTACTACTTTTGCCCTATTAACTATACTAGTTAGACAAGTTAAAATTTAAGAACATTTTGAATCATACTCTATGTTACTACTACTTTTAAAATATGTATTTGTATGTTTTTACTTTTCAGGAAACAACTGAAGTGCTATTCTGAAGAACAGGCTGAAAACAAAAATATAAGAACTACTTTTTTTTCCCCTGAACTATTTTGTTGTCCAACAAGAAAGTCTAAAAAATATGCTGAAATATTTTTATAATATATAAAATGTATTAACTTTAATCATAAAAATCAAATTTCTTCAAAATATAAATTTCTTTTGATTCCTTATATGTGTATGTACTGATTTAATTTTTTTTTAATTTTCAGAAATCTTTTATTTAGAAGCAGAAATGCCACCTTGCTGCCAGATATCCCTACAAATCATAGAATCCTTTACATAGTTGAAGGAGCTTGTCTAATTTTGATTTAACCTCTTTAGATCTGATTAGAAGTACTTTGAATTTTTATACATACTGAGGGATCTGAGTTTCTCCGTCCATCCATGAGGCTCTTATTCCAATGATCTAAGCCATTCTAATTTCTAAGAACTTGGGGGAAATGAGACTGTTTTAGATCTTTTACAGACTAAGTTGCTGTTTTTCAGATCCCTAGTAATTCCAGGAATTCTAGATCGTTCTGAATTTTTGGGGCCTGCCAACTGCTGGCCAGTATTCTAAGAAGAGTTTTCTTGGTATCCATGGAACAAGCTTTGGGAATACTAGTAAGTCCAAACTCCTTCTCTGATTACTCCTCCTTCCCAGTCAAAAATGCCACTCCTAAGAGTGTGATCTTCTTCAATCCCAGGCTACACCAGAAGAGACACTTATTTCAAGAGGATAAAATGAGATCATGCCAAAAAGCCACAGATTAATGTAGCTAAGTCAACCAAAAGCTCTCATACCAGAAAAATTGTACCCTTTACTCAGAAAATTTTAAATGGAATGCTTATTTTGGAGGAAGAACTCCCAAGGAAAGCACTGAAGCCATGTTCAGAGCTAGTAGAATTGGTACCCACAAAAGTTACCTTCCAACAAGAGACACTCAGCAAGCATGAGGAACAGCGGAGGGAATTCAAGGAAGCCCAGACCTTTTTCTTCTGTATACATTTCCTAGAATATTTGCCCCCAGGTCATAGTTAATCTTGCTTAACAGAAAAAATATAAACACTTACCAGGTGGTAAATCCAGATATCTTTGGATAAATGTGGCATTTCATTCAGTCAAACATACATCTAGTTAGCATCAACTAGACACCAGGCACTCTAGTGAGAAGACTACAAGGATTAAGATGCCATCTCTGCCTTCTAAGAGTTCACAGGGTAGTTCAGGAAATAGTAGTTGAAAAAAGGTAATATTGATACAACATGGTGTGTGAGAGAGAGAACTGAGGGTGCTAGAGGGGCACTTAGCTGGGGCGAGGGGACATCCAGTGAGGATAGAGATGGATGGGGGACAGCTTCCAAAGGTGATATATGAATAAAGCATGCGATCAGCCAAGGAAGAGTGGACGCAGAAAGGTGTGGTGGCAAGAACAAGGGCTGAAACACCACTTGATAGCGAGTACCTTTAAGGCAGGAGCTCTCCCTTACTCAGCGTTTCTTCCTGCTACCTAACATGTCTGGCACTAGTAGGTGCTATTTTGCTGTTTAAGGGATGAAGCATGGATTGTGGGCAGATCAGCCAGTGGTCTGATGCTACGGAGCACTAAATATGACATGAGGAAAAGCAGGAAGGGAAGGGCAGCAGTCTTCTGTGCCATGTTGTCAGAGAGGCTTGGGTTTATTCTGTATGTATGTCCCAGGGATGCAGTTTTGACCAGATGTCAAAACAGGAGTTTTGGCTATAGCAAATTATAAAGGGAGGCACCAAACTAAGATGTAAAACTTTTTAAGAAAGTGGCCTAAAAGAGTAGAAGATCAGAGGGAGATTTTTGAAGAGCAATTCTTTGTGATGACTATACTAGGAGGGAGTGAAGATTCTGGCTCCGGATGCCAAGTCAAGAGAAAAGGACTTAAATTAGGCCCCAAGAAAAGCTTAATACGGGGTTCCCTGAGGTTTTGGGGAACACAGTAAATTGGTGTCAGCATCATAACTGACTAATCAGAGAGAAGATGGCTGAAGCTGCAATTTAGGAAGTAAGTTTGTTGAGCAAAGAATGTGTACGTGTGTCCCTGGCACCGGATGAGGGCTCTGTGTGTGTACGTGTTTGTGACAGAGACCTTGAGGAGGAATGGGGGAGAGAGTTTGCGAGCACAGGAAGTCAGGTCTTTTCCAGGAGGGCTGCCCGGAAGGGAAGAAGACTGCAGGAAAAGGAAATTGCCAGAGGACAAGGGAATGCCTCGCAACTACAGGTAAAGTTCAAGCAAACAGCTGGAATAGAAATAGTGTCAATTTTAAAGAAACTGCAGGTAAGAGGTCTCTGACAATGAGATGCTAAGAACACATGAAAGTCCCTTCATGCCCAGAGATCACTGATCCTTGCCTAGTCCACACCACCGGTTAACTGAGGACTTCCATACTCCCCTCACTTCCAACCTTGGAGAGGGAGAAACCTCTACTAATACAATGGGAAGGAGGAGAGAGACCAAATAACCCCTCCCCACCCATTCTGTGATAGGAAAGTCTTAAATATCAGGTTTTTAAAAATGCAAATCCAGTTTGCCTTCCATTTCTTGATACTTCCTTTCTGTTAGAAAACTGAATTCCACAAACCGCAGTGATAGCATCTACGGAACAAATTCCTACATCGGGTTCTGGAAGAGATGCAAAAATCTTCCCTTCAGAGCATTGAGAAAGCCACAGAATTGGACACCATCTGTAGTCTTTCCTTACTCAAGTTTAATTCAGTCCACTCGTAATTTTTTGTCTAAAATTTTCCATGGCTTTTTTAATAAAGAAGTTTTCTAATACAAGTCATTGGAGAGAAAAAGAAATTTCTAAAACTTTGCTTTTTAGCCACAGTATTAAAATGTTTCTGATTTAACTTCTTTAGGTTTCTGGCTGTCGGCTTTTATAAAATTTTCTAGAGATAGTATAAACCTGTAATATTTTATGCCAGGCAAGTTACAACTTTAACTGCTACTTTTTTAAATGCCTGAATTGTTAAGAATCCAAAGGCAATATGGCTTCACATTGCCTTCATTCATAAACTGGCTGTCACGTTCAAATTTTTTAAAATACATTTTAATGTGTGAAGCGGCTTTTTAGCTGTTGAATAAATCATAAAAGTACTGTTCTATCCAGGATCTGAGCCAGGGCTGACCAGCAGACCCTGAGCGACAGACGAATGTTTGCTGTAAAAAAGAAGAATAAGGGACAATGAAGTTATTATCACCTTTTCCAGAGGAGGAGATTTGAAATATGAAAAGATTAAGTAAAATGCTCCCCAGTCTACAGAACTTCTAATGGTAAACTGGGATTCAGACCCAGACAATCTAACCCCACAGCCCAAGCTCCAACATTTAATTGCCCCCCCCCCCCACTTTTCCTCAAACATGGGAAAATGTTCCATTGTGAAAAGAGCTCTTAGGAAAACATATTTATATCAAATTCCTGTTCAAATTTTAAGTTTACTTTACCACCTCTATGCCCTCAGGCAAGTTCTTGGTCTCTTTCGTTCTCAGTTTCATTACCTATAAAATGTGGAAAATATCTACCATGCAGTGTGGTATTTGAGGACTGATAGCATGTATATAGCACCTAACACAGTACCTAACAGATGGCAAGCTCTCCGTAAATGGTAGCCACTCCTATCATTTTTATGACCACAATGTTGCCCATATCTGTCAATCATTGGCCCAATAAACCATTAGACTTGTTATTGCAGCAGAGCAGTACCTAGTATGTAATAAACATTATGAGAGTGTTAATTATTAGAATCTTTGGCTGGGTGCAGGGCCACCTAGGACAAAGACTATTTCCCAGCTTCCCTTGCAATGAGGAGTGGCTAACTTCTGTACAGTGAGTTACAAAAAATACAGAGATGACCTTGTGGCATATTCTAGGAATTTTCCTTAAAAGGTGGATATTACCCTTTCCCCCTTCTTCATCTTTTCCTGTTTTCCTTTTGGCATGGAGCAGGATGCCTCCTTGCATCTGGAGGACAGAGGCCAGCCCTTGCAGGGACAGGGTTGGGAGCTCAGCTGAAAAGGTCCCTGACAAAGAAGTGCATTATCCCAGCCCTTATTCTTTCACAGTTTCACTATTATTTGGCAAAGATCCTAATCCCAACTGAGATGTCTCCTAGTTTCATCATGTGCCCAAGGTGGCTAAGTTTGAAAGGGAATCCTTCCTACAGGGGGAGGTGGGCAGGGACATTGCCAAGGCAAGGAAAGAGTTTAAAATACCACAGACATCTTTGAAGTTATTACCTGTATCACCAAAACAGAAATACTTAATCCTTGACTTGAATCCGTTATATATTTGGTTTGGGAAACCTCTCTGAAATAGTTGGAGGGTTGTACTTTTCTTCCATGCTCATCAGGGGGCATTTTCAGCTTCCTGAGGGTGGCCTTAGCTGCAAGAAATGCCTAATCTCCAGTGAAAGACACATTAAGATGTAGTTCCCCAACTTCATCTTCCCAGAGGGAGTAGCTACAGACACACTGTGTAAGACAAAAGGGGGCCT